AACTATTAATAAATTAATGTCAAATTTTTATTGAATTGTTAATAAATAATTTTGTGATGAACTTTTAATAAATTATGGCTGAATTGTTAATAAATTATTTGAATAAATTTTTTAATAAATTGTTAATATACTGATTTTTGTAGTTGTCAATTTATTTATATTATTTTTTTGTTAAATTGTTTATTTTTTACTAAATATTACATGAGTGGTAGTATGCTAAATAATTTTTTGTTAAATGTTATATGAGTGGTAATATATGAAATAATTTTTTTTCAACTAGTATAGGTAATAAAATAAGTCTTTTCAGATAATATATAAAAAGAAAATAATGATTAAGAATAGATAAGTTTCTCAGATAATCAAAAGAAGATAAGATATTCCAATCAAGTATTTTTTATTGAAAAGAAATCTTGAACAGTAGGTTTTTAAAAAACCTGAAAATTTTTATTTTTTATTTTTTTTTTTTGTTTTCTTATAAGTTTGCTTTAATATTTTTAGATATACTTTTTTTCTTTTTTTTTAACCTATTCTTTTATAGTTTTTTATATTTTTGAAAAATTAAATATTTTTTCTTGACTTTAAGACTAAAGAAATTGTTCTAGTTTTTTTATTTATTAATAATCTTGAATTCTGAGCAAATTATATCTTTTGTAAAACACAATATAATACTAATTAAAAAGATTTTTGATAAATCTATTCTTTATTATTTCTTTATTATTATAAATTGTTTCTTGAATTGTTTCTTTAGAAATTGTTCTTTTAAAAGCAATTTTACTTGAATTTACTAATCAAATATAAATTTGATTACAATATAGACTATCTTTTATTTATTATAAAATCAGATAAAAAAGGTATAATGATATAGAGATGCTTTACACAAAATATATTTGAATCTTTAATTAAAATTTTTGGTTTAATTGATGATCAAATATATTTATAAGTTCTTAAAAATTATTTTAAATCTTTTATTAATAATTTATTGTACTTTTTTTAAGATAATAATATATCTATATATAGAATAAAATAGATAAAGAATGGAAAAAAACTAATTTAATTCAATTATTTTCATAACCTGCTTAAAATATGAATCTTAATTCGATCGAGTATTTAGGAGATGTTTTAGAAATAAGAGTTCATGCATGACCGAATCATCTTAAAAATAAAATTAAATTAATGGTTGCTTTTAAAGAAGAAATGGAACCTAATATTTTAATTAATTTAGTTGTTAGTATGCCTTGTAAAGTTGTTGCTGTTATGGCTATCCAATATGATATAAATGTATATAGATAGATAGAATTTACTTTATTAAATAAAATAAAACTTGTATTGCACCAAATTTGTTAGATGACTACTGGACGCAGACTTTTGTCCACCCAGTGTACATTAAATTTTGATAAGCGGATATTAGTTGAGAAAGAACTGAGGTAGTTTATGGTATAATAGAATAAGGTTCGATGCAATGAATTGATGGTAAAATTTGAAATAATTTAATACCATTTTATATTTTAACGTTTAAATGTTTCGAACCTACAATGGTTCCATTTTCCTAGTATTATTGGAAATTGAAATGATAGGTTTTTGTACTGCGTTAAGTTTGTTTCATGCGTTACCAATTAAAACCCTTGATGCATGCCTTTATTCTCTGTTAATTCATTCATTTGCACAAGAATAAATGCGCTTTTCTTGATTCAAACTATCACTCTTTGTGCATAATATTAACGTGTACAATAGTACAGCACATCACCAAAAATATTGTCTTTTTACAACGATCGTTCAAAAACCTCATCTTTATACGTACATAAATTATTGGCGATACCTTTTTTAGCATTTGTGCTTTACATTGTGTAAAAAAAAAAACTTTATTACAAGGGAGCTTTAGTCATAAAGAAAAGAAAAAACAATGAATTGGATTGCATCAAGAAATAACGATATAAACACCTACATCTGTGCCATGCACAGAGAGAGGTTTTCATCTTATACATTAAAGTCATTCAATTCTTTCTCCTCTGGATAGGAGATTTTAACAAAAAAATAATTCCAAGAAAATACACTTCTGATTTCTACGACCTGTTATTTCATATAGTTTGATATAAGTTTTAACGTACCTAGAATTCTCTATACCGTGAATCCCCGCATCATGTTTCAAAAGTACTTTGACGAAGGTCAAATCCATTTAGCAGAAGCCAGGAGACAAAAAATTGGCGGGTTTCTATATAATGCGCTATATGCTTACGAAAAAGCAATTAAAAACTTCGAGACTTTTAATAAATTCCCAAAGAGCTTGAGACCTCATCTTACACTCAATACGAAAGAATTATTGGCAGAGGTTTATGTAGAATGCGGAAATGTCTTCATGAGTCTGAAAGAAATTCAGAAGGCAGAAGAGCATTATAGAAAAGCTTTGAAATGGAAAAACAATTACATAAAAGCAGATGAAGCACTAAAAAACCTTAAAGCAAATACGGATATTGATACGACGAGCTCTTTGAACAAGTTCTTTTTTCAGAATCCTCGTTTAAACTTAGAGAATTATCCTGTATTTGATGACAAAGTCACTCTCGCCGACACCAGACAATTGGCCTATTACTTGCAAAAAGATATACAAAGTACCTTGAGTCAAGAGCAAATCTGTAACTTAAAAAAAATAGCGAGCGATGTCATTGAGGAATATGCACATAAAATATCCAAAAGTCGGGACGTAATTCAAGAAGCTGTTATATTATCATCTATACCAGATCGGGATATATATAAAAAATTACTCGAACAATGCATTCAACCTATTAATAACAACATCCAAGTAGATTCAGATTTATTAGAGGGGTTAACTCAAGTGGTACAAAACGCACAAGGTCATTTAGACGTGGGCTATGCGAATGGATTAGTTCAAATTTTGGGAATCTTAACGAAAAAATTACAAGGAATCCATCAGCAACAGGGCGTAGCCGAAGAACTCTATATTCTTACCAGGGCCATATCTCGCCTATTAGACGCCATGAAAGATGTCGAAGTGAAAGGTTTAGACCGAGAAAGTCTGCATGCTCCATTATATAAACAGCTTTCGGGTTTAAGTAAGAATAAAGAAGATCCGGCACTATCGTATCAAGCCAAGTACGCTTGTCAGGCGCTACTATATGTGCCTGATAACGAGCAACCATGGCAAAGCGCCATGCGCCACTTCTCCGATATAACAGGAGGAATTTTAACCTTAGCAAGTGCTGCTAAAAATCTTGATCCTTCAAAATTGAAGGAAGTGTTTAGCATCGCCAATGGAATTATTGAAGAGTTGAATGATTTTAGAACGAATTTTCAGGATGCCTTCGAGGGATTGAAGGAAATTCGTCGGGGTTTCAAGTTTAAACTTAGTCGTCATAGGCCGTGGTATATTGCACTTCGGCATATTGACTTCTTCATTTACACTGACCAGCTGGTTGAGCTGGAGGAATTTGTGCGAAAAACAAGGCTCAGTCAGAACCCCGAATTTTTATGGGGATTCTGTCAACGAATAGAGAACCTCGTCAACACCCATCCTGATATCACCGTGCGACAAAATGCTCTAGGGCTTTTAAAGGATGTGAGCCAATATACCATGAAGTGGGGACGATATGGTCCATACCCTCAAATTGATCAATTATCCACCACAACGTTTGTACCTGATTTTCCGACTTCTCTGTTATATGCTGCTCAGTCACGGTCTCCCGTTGAAGCTAATCTAAAGAAATTAAAAAAAGAGATTTGTAATGATAAAGAACTAGAACAATTACTTAATTTATATATTGAGCCACGGGGAAAATTGGATGTTCAGGACACGGATAGCTTTTCACTGTTTCCAAAGGTTAAAGAGTTTTTGCAGGGTCCTAAAAATGTGCTACTCTTATTGGGTGATTCCGGTGCCGGTAAATCAACGTTCAACCGCTTCTTATCACTTAAACTTTGGGAGGGATACAAAGTGGGTGGTCTTATTCCATTATATATTTCGCTGACTACTATAAAGAATCCAAAGTATGATTTAATTGAAAAGCATTTGAGAAAAGAGTTTTCCGAGGATCAAATTAAGGAGTTAAAAAGAAACCGTAAATTTGTATTTATTCTGGATGGTTATGATGAGATAGGTGGGAGTGAGATTGGCAATATTTGTGAAAGCAATCAGCTTGAGGCTTGGAATGCGCACATCATTGTTAGTTGCAGAACCGAATACTTAAAATATTTGAATAAGAATTATCACAAACTGTTTCAACTACGTCTGGATCGCAATAATCGTAATAAAAGTATCACAAAATTTGTGATCGCACCTTTTTCGATAGGTGATGTTTACAAATACATTGAGAGGTATATTAGCATGGGAAAAACTAATCGGGACACTTCATTCTATAAAAAAACTATTGACTCCATTCCTGGCTTGAAAGAATTATTGTGTAATCCATACATTTTATATATTGCGTTGGATCTCATACCAGAATTGGCTGAGAAACAAGTTAAAAACCTTACAGTGATCAAGATTACCCGATTGGATTTGTATGACGAATTCTTGAAAAACTGGATAGAGCGGTCTGAAACTCGATTAATAGAGAATCAGTTGACGCGTGAAGAAAGTGAAGCCTTTAATATATTGAAACAAGACTTTTTCGCGGAGTGCGTAAGGTTTGTTACAGATCTAGCAGTTAATCTGATGCAACAAAAGAATAAAGATGAAGATAATGATAAATGGAAAGAATCGTTTTTTGGTAACTCGGCGAAAACGAAACTGCTTCGCGATGCATCCCCTTTAAAGATGACAAACAACCAGTATTCATTTTTACACAAGTCGTTACTAGAGTACTGTGTCTCGCGTTCAATATTCGGACCTGAAGACGAGGGCGCCACCTCAGAAGCACCTAAGGTGAATGACATCTTGAACGAACTCAAGCTCGTTGGTGAGCCATCGGTGATTCAATTTTTAGCGGAGCGCGTCAAAAAAGAATTAGTATTCGAACAACGATTACATGAGTTCATCGAATTTTCAAAGACCGATGCAGCTTACCAAACTGCCGCAGCTAATGCAATTACAATTTTATCTAAAGCCAGAGTGGTATTTAGTGGTCGGAATCTAAACAACATTCATATTTCTGGAGCGGATTTAAGTTATGGCGTGTTCGATCAAACTAAATTGAAAGGGGCAGATTTAAGCAATGTTAATTTCCAAGGTGCGTGGCTGCGAAACGCAGATTTTAGCGAGGCTAATATGTCGGGCGTGGAATTTGGAGAAATGCCTTTTCTAAATCATAGTAGCGACTGCTGCTGTTATTCGCCCAGCACTTCCGACCTTGCTATCGGTAGCGAGGAGAAAATTTATCTGTACAATGTCGAGACATTGGAGAATTATAAAACTCTTATACGTACTTGTCGTGTACTGTGTTTGGCCATTTCTCCAGATGGCACCCAATTGGCGTCAGGCGGTTCGGATAATACGGTGTGGTTGTGGTCTCTTAAAAACCCTGACAAACCAGGCATCTTAAAAGGACATGATGGAGGGGTTACAAGTGTAGCTTTTTCTTGGGATGGCAGTAAATTGGCATCGAGTAGTTATGATAAGACGGTGCGACTATGGTCCCCCACTTCCTTAGGTCAAGCACTACATATTTTAAAGCATGATGATATTGTTATGAGTGTGGCAATCTCTAGGAACTTCGAACTGGCATCGGGCAGTGATGATAAGACAGTGCGGCTATGGTCCCTTAATACCCCACGCCCAGAAATGCGCATTCTAAGAGGACATACTGACTGTGTTACAAGTTTAGCCTTCTCTCCGGATGGCACCCAACTGGCATCGGGAAGTTACGATAAGACCGTACGGCTTTGGTCTCTTGAGGACCCGCTTAAAGAAAAGCAAATATTAGAACATAATGATTATGTTACCACAGTAGCCATCTCTAAGGATGGCACCCAACTGGCATCGGGTGGCTCAGATAATATGGTGTGGCTGTGGTCCCTCAATGTTGAGGATCAGAAGCCACGCGTTCTAGAGGGACATACTGACACTGTTGTTTGTGTGTCAATATCTCCGGATTGCACAAAACTTATATCGGCAAGTAAGGACAAAAAGGTACGAATGTGGTCTATCGAGACTCCAGATCAGAAAATGCGTATTTCGGAGGGGCATACGAACACTGTTCGGAGTGTGGATATTTCTCATGATGGAACTCGACTGGTATCGGGCGGTGATGATAATACGATACGACTATGGTCCCTTGAGGCCGCGGACCAGGAACCGCGTATTCTTAAAGGACATAATAATTGGGTTATGTGTGTGGCCTTTTCTTGGGATGACACCCTAGTAGCATCAGGCGAATCTGACAATACGGTGCGGCTGTGGTCTCTTAAAACTCCAGAAGGAAAACCACGCATTTTAGAAGGGCATACTGAATGGGTTATGTGTGTAGCCTTCTCTCCTGATGGCACCCTGCTGGCTTCGGGGAGTTTAGATAAAAATATACGGCTGTGGTCTCTCGAGAGCCCGGGTCAGAAAATGCGTATTTTAAGACACAACGCAGAAGTATTAAGCATAAATTTTTCTCTAAATAGTATCTTGTTATCAGCCAGCTTAGAAAAGGTGTGTCAATGGTCCCTTAGTACTTCGGATCCGAAACCGCTCGTTTTAAATGAACGTGCCGATAAAGCTGAATGTGTGTCTATCTCTCGAGATGGCACTCAACTGGTATCGGGCGGTAAAGACGGGACGGTGTGGTCCCTTAAGACGCTGGGCCAAAAAAAAAAATCTTGCATTTTTGAAGGACACATCGGAGAGATTACGAGAGTGGCCATCTCTCCGGACGGTTCTCAACTAGCATCGAGCGGTAAAGATAACACAGTGCGATTGTGGTCTGTGAAATTTGAACGCTGCCTGGCCGTTATCTATCTTCCAGAGGTAATTTATAGTCTCGATTGGAAGAATACAGAAGCTGGCGACTTTCTACTAACAAGTGGTCCGGAGAAGACCATCCGCCTGTGGCGTGTGGAAGAACTAAATGATCAAACGTTATTTATCACTTTACATTGGACTTCATATCAAGCCATGCTTTGGGCTCCCAAGGTAATCATCCAAGACGTAAAAGGTTTAAGTCCAATGAATAAGCGCCTTCTAGAACAAAGAGGTACCACTGGAAAACCAGCAGTCTGACAATTCTTTACGCAACACATTCAAAGAACGATTCAATCCATGGATAGATTTTTATCAAATCTTGTTGAAACAAAATAGTCAGGACTATTAATAAATTTAATTTATTTGTTTTTTTTTTAAGTAAATGATATTTAATTACACAAATCCCATTATTTATTAAAGATCAAATAAAAATTATTATTTATTATTAAAAATTTTTAAGTATTAATTCTTTTTTTTTAATTTGCAATCGTGCCATTATGGAGTGTCTTTGTTGAGATATTGAAAAAACATTTACAATATTACAATAACTAATTATATGGCAGCTAACTTGTCTTTGTATATTATTAATTGAAGAATTGTATTTAAAAAATATAAGGAGTTTATTAAGCTAATTTGAACTAAATAAAACAAAGTCTAAACTAGATATTTTAAGTCAGATTTAAAAAACAATATTTTACTTATTGATAAATTAGTATTAGCATTTATTTATTAGAATTATTGTTTATGGTTTATTGCTATAGATTAAGGAAAATAATTTAAAGTTTTTTCAAAAGATTTTTAAATTAATTCAATAACTTTTTTTCAAAAGAAATTTATTTGATTAAGTTTTAAGTAATAAGATTTCAAAAATATTTAAGAAACTTATTTCTTGATCTATATATAGATTTACTTATTATATCTTTATACCTAATATTATGTTAAAAGAATTATTTATCTAAATTAAGATAAAAAAAATTTCTTTAAAATTTTATATAATTAGAATAAATATTTTAAAATCTTAAAAAAAATTTTTTTATTATCTAAAAAACTTAAATTTTTTTTTTTTAATGTTAACACAATCTTGTTTATTTAAATATAATAGATATTACATACAGTTGCTTCCAAAAATTTGAGTCCACTTACTATGTTTTTATTATAAATTTCAACTTTGACAATTTTTAAATCCTTAA